AGGCAATAACTCGATTTAATATGCAGAGATAATTTTTAAGGATAAGCAGTTAGTTATAAGTAATTAAATTAGGTATTAGATAACATAGTCATTATGGATTTACATGGTCATTATTAAATCTTACTTCTTTTTTAACAAATATTGTTCCCATTAAAATCTAATAAAATTTCACAGTTTAAAATACATGTAATTTATGACATTGAGTCTTAAATGATATTAGATAATTACACATTAAAAGATACGAACCATTTATGTTTCGTAAGAACAACGCTCAACAAAATATTAAAAAGATGCACAAAATATTTATGCATCTTTTTAATTTTAAGCCTTCCCAGACATTTTGGCTAATTTATATAGATTTCCTTCTCTTTAAGCATTTTTTCTAACAATTAGAAATTTGTCTCAGTAAGCAAAACAATGTTCTCACTAGTTTCTGCATGTTTTATCTCCTAACCTGTCAACCTCTCCACAATGTACAATTACAACTCTCCACAATGAGGGTTTTACTTGAGCTGGTAAAAGTTAATTAGTCCAACGTCTTTCCCCCAACAGATGTGAAGCAAATTATCGCTATGTCTGAAAGTAACTACAAAGTCAGACAGGTTTAAATAAGCTTCTTTTTTAAAAAGAAGTTAAAACATAAAGGTATGTTCTTAAGCTAACAAAGTCAATTACAGCTCGTAGTGATGTAATTAAACAAGAGTAGTCAAATTCAAGCTAAAAATATGGACTAGTGGTCAAAGACTATATAATTTAATTTCATCTTAAGCTGGCTCAGTAACTCTATCATCATAACAAATTCAAATGTCTACAGTGGTTATGCAAAGACGAATAATTAAAATTATAAGAGCTGGCATAAACTAATGCAGGGAACAAGTGGAGGTCAGAAACACACTTCCATCTCACCCTCCAAAAACCTCAGTTTAAAAACTGTCTAAGTGATTTGTATTCTGGTGAGAAAATAGAAATGGGAAATTATAGTAAAGGCTGAAATTGTAAACAACTGGGTAATTTACATAATAATACAGTGGTACCTCGACAAACGAGTTTAATTCATTCCATAACCTTGCTTGTATGTCAAATTGTTCGTATCTCAAAGCAATTTTCCCCATTGAAATTAATTTAAATGCCATTAATCCATTCCAGCTCCCAAAACACCACCTCAATTGTTTTTATTAAGTTTTTGAATAAGAAAAATTTACGAACATTTTTTTAAAAAATTTACATTTTTGTATTTACAAGAAGAAACATTAATTTATAAATAACAAATACATATTCTATAAAAACATAATTAAAAGAAAAAGTGAAGTGCTTATGGAAGCGCTTAATTAAATTAAAATTAATTAAAATTTAATTAAAGATTTCAGTTATTCTAAAAAACTATATGCATTTAGAATGTATAGAAAAAGCTGCTAATTTTATTTCTCTAGTAATAGGAAAATTCAGAAGAAATATGAAATATAACTGGTAAGGTCCAGTTACAAAGCTGGTGTGGCAAATTTTTAGAATTTAGTGACACACTGAGCAACAAAATCTAGAAATGGCAAAACTTTTAGAATTTAGAACAGGCATTGGTGGCAGAATTTAGAAAGGTACCAAGCAGCAGAATTTAAGATCCACAGAGATTGCATCAGGTGGGGAAATGCCTAGTGCCAGCCGTGTGCATGATGCATTAAGACATATTAGATGAATCTTTTAAATTGTCAGTTTTCAAGTTCTTCATTACTAAAAAAACTTCTTTTCTATAATGCCTGTCCATATGTTAAGATTAGAAGCATTTTTTTTATATTTTTCCATGCTTGTGTCTAGTGAAAAGTAGAGAAAATAAAGGGAAGATAAAAATGTTATGAAAAAAAATTCTAGTATCAGAAGTAAAACATTCAACTATTATGTTTTCATTTGTTGCTCCAGGCATTCTCCAAAAAGTGAGAAATTACGTGTTAATACCATGGAGACATTTTCCATTTTGTCACATGTTTAGGAATTAAATCTTCTAGAATCTTGGGTCTATAGATCTTGCCTTAAAATCTTTCTAAACTTTCCAAGCTGCAATGTCTAAAATCCTAACGAAAAATTACCCCTACCAATTCTGTAACAGCAAAAAGCCAGAATATTTTGGAAAGAAAAATCGGAGGAAAAAAGTGTAAAATTAATTTTATAGAGAAAACTGATGCATACTCTGAGAATTCTGAATATTCTGAGACAATTACATGGGAAAACTCTTACCATAAAAATATTAAAAAGACATTTTTAATTAATTACATAGCTATTTTGCTGTTCCTAAGAACTGTTTCGTAAATTGTGCTGCTATAGCATTATACCTTGCTTATTTTTCATATTCAAAATATTACATAATAAGTGGCCAAAATGGAATTTATAGCATGACAGCGAAAAATAAAAATGCTTTACTTTAATGTTATTTCTTAAATATAATTACAATACATTACCATTATTTTAATGAAATTTATCAATGTTATAATGTTTCTAAGAAAAGTCGTCGAAAAATTCCCAGATCTTGGAATTAAAGAATTTCTATAGAAACTGATCTTAAAATCATCAAAATGTTGATAAGTCGCCAAACTTAGAACCATTTAATAAAAGAAAATAAAAGAATTTACATTCCCAAAAGCGAAAAGTTGTTTAAGAGCTCTTCATTACAAAAAATTAAATAATTTCGAAATGCTTATGTTTCACTTTTTGCTCAGAAACTCTATTCCACATTTACATTAGAAATAGGAATAAATTAAAACCCATTAACGCATTTACTCATTCAAAAAATAACCATATTTGCCAGCAAATCGCCAAAAATATTCCTTCAAAATGCTAATTCACACTCAAAATGACAGTCATAAAAACAAACAGAAATTTCAGATGATTAAAATTAAGGACCTTCTGCCTATTTTGGCCGAAATTAAAGACTTTTAAGAACAAAAAAATCGATTAAAAAAATTAACGACTTTTAAGGACTGTACGAACCCTGCCTAACTATGTTCCAGCTCAATCTAGACTAAAGACACAAAAACGCTTTCTTTGTGATGATAGATCAACTAGAAGAAATATGGGGTTTCCCTTAAATTGTTTGACTATTTTTAAACTTTTTATCTTTCCAGGCTCTTTGCATTATGCTTTAGACTTGTTTATTAGCATTAAAAAGAGTTCTTCTTTTCCTGTTGAACTTAAAATGATAGCATTGGCTACTATCTATGAGAGATATCCTACAGCACACTGGACTCGTATCTCATACTCATTAACATCATTACTGATGGCTGAAGGTGCTGATGATGGTGTCTTTTCAGAACTATTTTGACCGAGTGACAGAACTGGGCACTTTTTTAACAACTTTGATGCTGAATTGTATGCTATTTTGATGGCTCTCAGCATCATTAAAAATACAGCTGATAAAAATATTGTTCTGTTTGTGGATTTTCAGACTGCCATTCAAACTATCAGAGGTTATAAGATTTCCTTACATCCACAGAGTTAGAGTGCAAATTACTGATCAGCTCTCTAATTGAGTCAATAAGGGATGTTGTCTTGCAATGCATTCTCAATCATAGCAATATTCCTGGCAATGAGCAAGCAGATGTACTCACTAAGGTGGGTTGTAATTTTAATCAACCTGAATTACATGCTCCTCTCAGAAACATCAGACTATTAGGGACCGTTCAGATTGGGGTTTATCTGAGTTAACGGAGACAACTAACTGACTTAGCGACCCATCTCCAAAAACAATTTTTTCCCATGTTGCAGCGAGTTAAAAAGTCTGAACTGCACACATAGCGGAGCTAGTCAATAGATGGAACTGACTCCCTAAGCTCAGCTAAACCTAGTCTGAACGGCCTTTTAGAGAGCACATTCATATAAGGCTAGATTCTTTCATTACAAGGATGATGTAACTGCGAAGAACTGGCACACCTCATTGGTGCAAACAGAGCTGTGTTTCTCTGCCAAGAACTATTGGTATGGCTTGCTTCAAATTTATGATGGAACATGATTACTTACAGGTTCATCCTTTTAAATTTGGATTTGCTGACTCCTCAGACTGTGTACTCCAACAACCGGACAGCCCCTTTTTTCTTGTACTGCTTTGTGAGATGTTCTTTCATAAGAAATTTTTGACTCTTCCAACTGCAGGGGCAAATGGACTGCAATGCACCGTATGCTCGATAGAGTCTAAGCAGCGTAATTTGAAAAATAATAATAATAATAATAATAATAATAATAATTTATAAAATAAAATTCCACTAACCAAATGGTTAATTAATTATATCAAAGTCCACACTGGCTTTTTGACTTACAAAGCATACAAAGTATGCCTTTGTTGTGGACTTTCTAAAGAAAAATGGCTCATTTTCATGTTACGTAAGACAATGAAAATCTGATTAGGTAGCCTGTTCATCTAGAAATAATCCGAGGATGAACGATTGATGTTCCATAGTCTTATCAAGTAAGAACTGAAACATGATTTTAATTTTGACTATGTTTTCCATTACAAATGCTTAGAAAAAAATGAATTAGCATTAAATTCGGAAAAAGGCCATATATCAAAACATAGAAGTGTACAAAAGCAAAAAACATACAAGTTACCTAACTCGCATGGTAAATTATATAAAAAAAGTTTTGTTTATTAAGAACTGCAATAGGCTCAAATTTCATATGAAAGTAATTTCCGAAAACCAAGTTTTGATTTTTGTCAAATTTAGATGCAATCAATAAACTGGAATGCAGCTTATTTAGCAAAACAGAACATCACTTTTATACAAACCTTTGAATTTGAATTTGCTGACAATTTGAATGAATTTGCTGACAATGTGATTAGTAAAATACAGTACTTAACAGGGAATTAGATAAAATATGTATAACAATACCAAGCTAGTTATTTTGATTAAATACTGAAATTTGTTATAAAACATCTAAAAGTCACTGAAATTTTTAAGCAATTTATACTTTAATTAAAAGAATTCAATGGAAGCATTTCTAAAATATTTTCTGTAACTTACAAACTGTCCTTCATCAATGCCTATCACACTATGATTTTCAGCTTCAGACTTCAAATTAGCTAAGCTAGTCGAAGACACAGCAGAAAACGTTTGCCTACATAGAAGGGTAAAAGTTGTTGGAAAATTCTTCACAAAAATAATTATAATAAAGAGAAAAACAGTCAGTTTCAAACAATTTCCCTTACCTGTCATGGGTAGCTATATTAACAGCATCGTACCTCATGTCATTAGCATACTTTATTATAAAGCAGCTGTGATTTGCAATCTGATATCGTTTTAATCGCCGAATCAGTTCCGTTCTATAAGAGGAAAAATGTATGTACATACAACAATCATAATTTAAATCAATTAAGAACATAAAGTGTACTATTAAAAATTAATTAAAAAAAGTATTTTACCTCCAAAACAAAATTCTGATTAAGACCAGAACAGGTTATGCAAACTAAACATTATGCATCAGTTAAAATTACTTAAGAGTTAATTAACTGCTTGATTTTAACAAAGGCTGTCCAAAAGATGTAACAAAGGCTTAACAAGGATTTAACATGAGCTGTCTGGTGTAAAAGAAATACCTTTGTGAAAGGCTTGCTAAGGAAAACTGGCTCATTAGGGGTAAAAAAAAAAAAAAAAAAAAAAAAAAAAAAAAAGATATTGACAACATCTACACTACTCGCACACTTTATGCTGAAAATGAACAAGCTGAAATATAGCAGTCCTTCAAAAAAATTAGATGAATTTTCATGCATCGATGAAGGATAGATACTAAATAAAATTGGGCACTTTCTGATTGTCCATACCCCCACCAAAGAGTCATAAATTTGTGGCCAACTTTGGAAAGCATTTGTGAACTTGCTGTTAACTTTGAAGAGAAATGGTTTGTTTGGCAATCTTTTTTTTTTTTTTTTTTTTTTTTTTTATGATGCATGCAGTGCATCTATTTTTTTTTTACATTCCTTCCATAAAAGACACATACTTCTCAATTTGTTTTGGGGGTACTGCTTTTCCCATGTACATACTGCTCAAACTCAGCACCCAAATTCTAAAATAAGAAAGAAAAGAAGGCACAAGATGCCTTTAAGCAAGCTACATTATGCTCTATATGTGCAGAAAATTTGATAAAAAAAAAAAAAAAAAAAAAAAACCTGCAGTATGTGGTCCAGACTATGTTAAAATGCTGAAATCCCTAATGAAGGGAACACAATATGCAACCTGGAAAGCAACCTGGGGATATACTATATATGAGTTGCTACATAAATGCCTTTTGGCAACATGATTCATTGTCTCAACAGTACGTTTTGGCAGCTTTTTGCTGAAAGTATGGATAATCAAAAAGTACCTAAAATTCTACAGTAATATATAGATAAAAAATACGAGGTGCACATCTACATGTTATAGCAGTCCTATATGCAAAATTTCAATGTTCAGAGGCTACTCATTTTTTAGCTATGCGAAATACGTACGTATGTACGCACAGACGCCACGAAAAATTCTCTTCAGAATTCCTTTTAAATCAGTTTTATAATTTTTTGGGGTGAAAAGAGTCTTTTATTCTGTCCTTACGTACAGATTTCAAGCAAAAACATCATTAAATTTCATTCAATAGCATCAAAATGGATATTTTCGTTGAAATATGATGCCTGAAACTTTTCGCGATTACAATACTTCCTTCTTTGTACGAAGTAAAAAGGCTAAGTATTGCCTTAGCCTTTTTACATCGTACAAGGAGGAAAAGGGTGTACAAGATTATACAGAAGTGGTTTCTACAATCTGAACTACAATCATCAGCGGAACAAAAGAGAGGAAAATTGTTATGTTTATTTTTAAAAATAAGATACGAAAAGTGCAACTTCTGTATGACAAATTAACCAAGATATTTAATTTTAAAATAGTAAATTGTATTCATGAGCAGAAAATTCACAAAGAGAAAACCAAAATGTTTACTCTTGTACACTGTAGAATTTGACTGAAATCTTTTTCTAAAAAAAAAAAAAAAAAAAAAAAAAAACCCTAAGGACTTTTAAGGAATGTACAGCCTCACCAGTGGCCGAGCAATAAAGTTGCTAAACACTGGTAGTTTGGTCTGAGGTTCAAATCCCACAAATAGGCTGGCTGCATGGGCATTTTCATGTATACGAGCCAGTTTCCCTTAGGAAGTACTCAATGAAGGCATCCCTCCCCTTTAGGGATATTGCCCTAATTGCTTTGTCGTAATCAAAGAAACCAAAGCTAACCAACTTTAAGGGACTGTATGAACCCTGTATACACACTTTATATTTACCTGTCATTTAACTGAACTCCACTGGGTGAAAAAATGTAAATATTGCTATTTAGAATTTTTTTTTTCTCATAAAATTTCTGGTTTCTTTTATAGAATAGAATGCTTCTTTTTGTTATTATTTAAGAACATATCAATACCTATGGATTGTAAGAAAAGCCAAACAAATATTTTTCACCAATTCACAAAGTTGCCAATCAATTGGCAACTCTTCATAAGGAACAATCAGAAAATAATGAAGCATTTTATAAGAAACGAGAAATTTTATGAAAAAAAAGAAAAAAAATCTAAAATCTATATGGCCATTATTTTAGTATTTTTTATTCAGTGAAATAACGCATGTAATTCTATATGCTTTCAAACGTGTGGTATTGTTGCATGTATACATGAAAATACACCAAAAACATGGCAATTCCTTTTAATGCTGAAATCGGGAATGCAGATAATCAGATAGTACAAAATATTCTTTTAACTGGGAGAATGCTTTTTTGAATAAGAATGAAGCAGTAAAAAAATCTTTGAAATAAAATAGGAAAATAAAAAAGTCCCATTCGCATTACAGTAAATACTATTCAGCTTAGAAATAAAATAATACAATTAAATAAATATTCAGACAAACTGTTGTTCTACTTCTTTGAAATATTTCAATTTTACCGCATTGAAATCCTACTGCTGCCTTATAAATAACATAAACAGCGAGTTGATACCTACTTTATACATCTCCAGACTTACTAATTTCAGAAAACATCGCTGCAATTTGACATATGTGCTCAATTTCAAAGTCGCAGTGGTTTTATTTCACTTTATTGTTAAGGACCATTCAGTGGTGGATAGGGCCAGTGAGTGACCGGGCATATGCCTGTTGGGCTGGTGCGATTTCGGGCCAATTAAGAAATGCGAAAAATCAAATCGATACAGATGACTCAGCGAGACAGCCACGTGCGTGAGGTAAACATGGATGGGCAGACTGCATATCGCACTCAAACTCACATGAGATATGGTAGCTGTAGTCTGCAGGGTAGGGGTAGAGTAGAGCCTATAGTCGACAGTGGTCGATAGCGTCGACAATCGTAAAGAAGATTAATGAAAATACAATACAGTCACATTCTAATTTAATTGTGTAATTGAAAATATTGCATTATAACAGTAATTGAAAAAGACTCAAAGCAAATTTTACTGTGTCACTGAATAATATAAGTTGATGATAAAAATATTGCAGTTGAATTTTTACATTACTTGTTAGCAGAGCTGTGGAGTCGGTAAGGAAAATGACTGATTCTGACTCCTGGAATTTTAAAGACTCCGAATCCCTCATATATATAGATATATGTGCATGTAAACATACACACGTGGGTTACAGCTTATTTTTTAATATAAAAGGAGTAATAGATGCTACAGAAAAAACATTGATGGCATAGCAAATTATTTATATATTAATTAGCATTTATTATGAAATGGAAAAACTGGCATTAGTAATTTATAAGAAATAGTATAGCTTTGGCAAGATCTTCTTTTGTTAGAGGACCATAGATCCAATTTGATAAACTTCAGAGCCGAGAAGAATCTTTCCACACTAACTTGAGTACGAAGAAGAGCTAGGATAGATTTTTATAAGTTCTAAAAGAGGTGTCTTTCAAATGCAATCATATTTCTATTTCTTCAAAGGTCATGTAGAAATCTTGTTTGTATTTTTTCATTTTTATATCTCAAGGCTCTTGGTTCTTTATTTTCATTTGCTCTGCCTTAGCCTTTTCAATATTACATAAAAATATTTCACAAAATCTAATTCATCACTGGAAGAGGATGATAGAGACTGCAGTTTGAATATGCATTATAACAGTCTGATTTCAATACTCCAATTGTTCTCAGAATAATTTCATTCTTATTGAAAGTTCACAGATGACTTTCTTTGCCTTTTTAATTTGTTCGTCATCCAAGAAAATTTGGTGTTTTGGATCTACATATATTGAACCCAGCAAGATCTCATTGTCTGGCGCAAACTAGTTTCTCTTTTCTTCATTGAAGAAATGATTCCTTCTGCAATAAACCCTCCATTTCAGAAAGAACAAACATCCCATTCTTCCATTCTCGCCTCCTGTCAATTCTTCAGATTGTAGCTTTTTTGTGCCTATATGCGGTGTAGAAAGAAGAGTTTCCAATTCTGCAAGATCATTCCAGTCTTTCTGTTGTGAAACATTAGGGTTATCTACATCTTCTAAAATAGTTCTTAATTCTAAAAACCTCTTTATCATCAAATGTGTACTTCCTTATCGTGTTGCTTAATCAATAATTACTCCTTTTCCTGCTCGCTTCTGAAGAATGACATCAGTTTTGGGAGTTCTTGCTGCTATTGCTGCTTACCTAAATTTACCAGTGAGATTTGTAACTAAATGAATCAGTTTAATCACTAATGGCACATATCACATCCATCCTCCTCCCTTATATTTATTTATTAATATGTCAATAAAATAGAATATAACTATTTATTAATGTATATAGTTCATAAATAAAAATAATAACTCAGCTTGTCATCAATTTTTTTCAATTCATTTAAATTTCATTTCAAATTCAAACTGTCCAACAAAAACTGGAGTCGACCTATTTTTAACAACTCCAGCTCCGACTCCTTTTACCCCAAAATCTGCCCGACTCTACAGCCGTACTTGTTAGGTACTTAGAATGGATGAACGGAAAATCAAAGGCGGAGGACAGAAACTATGAGAAAAAAGCCAAAAACTAATGAAGGATTCTGCAATGCATTGCTCAAAAATTACGGATATATATCCTGGATTTTCAAAACCAGCACCTTCTCCCACGACAATTACAGTCAAAAATCGTTAATTCTGACTCGTCGGGACTTCGGCGATTCCGGATTATCGATTTTTCTGGATTATAGATCATCAGTTTAAATCTCGTAAGATGGCATGCAGAAATTATAAAATTAAAATTATGAAATAAAGAACAATTATAAGCTAAAGGGTATCAAAATTTACAAAAAAAAAAAAAAAAAAAGCTTAATATTTA